CCGTGACTCGTGATTGTCGGAAAACAATCTCGCGTTTTGTTTACGGTTGGATTCCGAGCGCGTCGAGGTGTTTTAAGTTCGGTCGCTTCTCTGCTGCTGCTACCCCGGGACTGAGCGTTGCAGCCCCTGGGCTTGAATATTTTTCTGGCAGTGCCTTCCTCGTATTTATATACGAAAAGGCTGTAAGGAAAACCTTGGAATTTTCCCACCCTCTGGACCGTGCCCTGATCTGTTCTCAGGCTCCACAACTGACCTTGCTTTGTCTGTTCCCTCGGGCTTATCTTGCCCGGATCGATAGATCTGCGCCTTGGCTTTCGCTTTCTGCCTTGTCACAGTCCGGCTGCACCTCACTCTGTTCCAAAGGCCACTTTCTCTGAGTATTTTTGATGCCGTGAGCACTCCTCGTGCTCTGTTCTGAGCAGTTGAGCTGTAACTGCCCAGCAACTGAGGGGGAAAAAAAACAACCCCACGCTTGGGTATGATTTTCAAGCCCCCCCCCTTGTGTGGTCTCTTGTGCTGCACAATCCACGCTCTGTTCTAGTTAAACTCCCTGTAAACAAGTTGCTGGGTTTTCCAAGGCCTGATCGCTTCCAGCTGTCTTCCAGCATTAAGTCCTGAAGGGAACAGTTAACAGGCAGCTCTCACAAAAATAGCCTTTTAAATGTATGCAAGCTCAGGAATCCACTGGGGCTGGATAAGGCTGGGGTGTGCTTTTCCTTGGATTCCTGCAGTGCTCCATCCCACAGCTCCCGAAGATCAGTGTCGGGACAGAACCGTCCTGTTTCCTCCTTGGAGACAGCAGGGCCTCGTGGAGCCAAAGAAAAACACGTGTTACTAAATTTAAGCCTCAAGCTAAACCACAGGTTCCTATAGAACCAGTTTCATGTCTCGGCTGTTGCAGCTGTCTCGCTGTTTTCAGCTGGTTCAAATGTCCTGGGGATAGAAGAGCCTGAGCTCTCACAGCTTTGGCACTTACTGCTGTTTAAGATGGGCCAGGTAGCTGCCTTGACACAACATCTGATCATTCTCTCTCTTGATTGCCTGTTCCTGGCTCACTGAACAGAGTTTTGTCTCTGAAATGCTGCACAAAGGACTTTGGAGCTGTTATAAGGCGATGAAACGATCTCACAGGATTGATGTTATTGGGAGATTTCCCTGAAGGAGTACAGAGGTGGATGAAAATGGCTACAGGAATTTAAAAAAGGTTGTGGGAGGAGACCACAATGTATTAACAAATAGTAACACTCTTTTAATACCTCACTGTATTTTCAAAGGGTATTCCCAGCCTAGCACAGGAGTGGGGAAGAATCCTCAAAACATCTTCTTTCAAATAAAGATTAAGAATTCCTATTCTGTTTTTACAGGTTATCTTATGAATGAAAGAGCTGAACAGATTGTTCATGAATTCTAGAGGGCACCTAGGTTGAAGCGATGAAGAGAATGGTACTAGTATGCATTTTATTTTTAGACTGTAAAAAGACATTGATTTTGAGGGAAGAAATGTTCTTTCTGGTTGCAGGAAGTAGCAGCACATAAAGGAGAGAAACTCTCAGTTCATAAACTTCTGATGAATGTGAAACCTGCAGGGGGGGCCTTCACATTTACCATTTCTTGGCAATCTCTGCTACTTGCTTGGGCTTCACAGAACACACACTTTGGCATCTTGTTTTACAAGCACTTTTCTTTGACTTACTTTGTGGGAGAACACGCCCCTCAAGCCTCTTTCTTAGCGGGTCTTGAAGCTTCTGCTTATTTGCTGGACTCATCTTCTCACTGAAGGTCGGACTGGACGATCTCAAGGGTTGGACTTGATGATCTCGAAGGTCCCTTCCAACCCAGCTGATTCTCTGATTCTATGATCTTGACGGTCTCTTCCAACCTGGATGACTCTGTGATTTCCAACTTGCTTCCCAGGAGCCGTGGAGATGTCCCGGAAGAGCCCTTTTGCCTCCTGGCTCTGCGCGATGCTCCACTGCTTCGGGAGCTACATCCTGGCTGCTCTGCTGCTTGGAGAGGCACCCCTTGGGTACTTCAGCAACAACTCCAGTGTCATCCTGGCCACGGCAGTTTGGTGAGTCCCTTCCCCCTGTGAACAGCCCTCTGGTGGGGAGGGAGATGTTCTGTTTGTGATCCTGCTTGGATTAACTGGGGTCAGGGGAGGTGGGGTGAGGTAGACTTTGAGTCTTTTGCGTTCCTGGCTCCAGCTCCCAGTTTCCCTGCCCAGTTGCCTAATGCTGTGATTATCTGGGCTGGGGCCAGGCCAAGGGCTGGGCACTTCTATTCATAGCAGCTGCTGCTGAGCCAGGGCCAAACCACAGCTGATACTCCATAGAGAGGAGTGGCCCTCCCTGAAGATTTGGGGGCATTTTATTCCTTGTGATAGTGAAATGTGCACAAATTAACCTTTGATTTCCTCAGGGTGCACAGCTTATGTGTGCCTTTGCATGCCAGAATGAACATTGTTAGGAAACATGAATGAAATGTTCATACACAGAAGCCTTGGGGTGAATCCCTCAGCTACCAGGTTTTCTGTGCTTAAGAAAATAAAAAGAAAGATATTCTTTCAGGCAATCTTCTGCAAAAGGGGATATCTGTTCTCTGTCTGTAGTATAATTTCAGTATATGTAGCTTCTGATGCCTCTGGACCATACAAGATGTAAAATTTGAAAAGATTCTGAGTTAAAATGGTTGGTTTTTTTATTCAAAACAGAATAGTACCAGTAGTGGGAGTTCCCTGAATCCATTTAATATCAACTCAATTAATTGTTGCTGTAGAGAGGCTTTGTTCCACACTGGTTTCCTATAGAATCAGCTATGAAATTCAGAATTTTTCTTTTTTCACAGAACCAGCTATGAAATTCAGAATCTTTCTTTCCTTTTTTATAGAATCAGTTATGTAATTCAGAATCGTTCTTTCTTTTTTTATACAATCAGCTATGAAATTAAGAATATTTCTTCCTTTTTTGTAGAATCAACCAGGAAATTAAGAATTTTTATTTTTTTTTTACAATCAGTTGGGAAATTAAGAATCTTTGATTCCGTTTTTTTATAGAATCAACTATGAAATTAAGAATATTTTTTCCTTTTTTCTAGAATCAGCCATGAAATTAAGAATCTTTCCTTCCATTTTTTTTTTTTTACGATCATCTGGGAAATTAAGAATCTTTGATTCTTTTTTTTTATAGAATCAGCTATGAAATTAAGATAATTTTTTTTCTTTTTTTATAGGATCAGCTGGGAAATTAAGAACATTTTTTTTCTTTTTTTATAGAATCAGCTATGAAATTAAGATCATTTTTTTCTTTTTCTATAGAATCAACCATGAAATTAAGAACATTTTTTCTTTTTTTATAGAATCAGCTATGAAATTAAGAATATTTTTCCTTTTTTATAGAATCAGCTATGAAATTAAGATAATTTTTTTTCTTTTTTTATAGAATCAGTCAGGAAATTAAGATCATTTTTTTCTTTTTTTATAGAATCAGCTATGAAATTAAGATCATTTTTTTCCTTTTTTATAGAATCAGCTGGGAAATTAAGAATATTTTTTTCCTTTTTTATAGAGTCAGTTATGAAATTAAGAATATTTTTCCTTTTTTATAGAATCAGCTATGAAATTAAGAACATTTTTTCCTTTTTTATAGAATCAGCTATGAAATTAAGAATATTTTTTCCTTTTTTATAGAATCAGCTGGGAAATTTAAGAATATTTTTTCCTTTTTTATAGAATCAGCTGGGAAATTAAGAACATTTTTTTTCTTTTTTTATAGAATCAGCTATGAAATTAAAAATGTTTTTTCTTTCTTCCCCTTCACTCCCACCTGACATAACTCAGGCTGATGCCACACTGCTCCTCCCTGCACGTCCCAGATCGGGACAAACCAACAGCTCCTTAAACTCTTGGTGTTTTTTCCGCAGGTATTTGATATTCTTCTGCCCCATGAACCTCTTCTACAAGTGTGTGAGCTTCCTGCCCGTGAAGCTCGTCTTCGTGGCCATGAAGGAGGTGGTCCGAGTGCGCAAGATCGCGGCCGGGGTGCACCACGCGCACCACCTCTACCACCACGGGTGGTTCGTCATGATGGCCACGGGCTGGGTCAAAGGTGACACGGGAGAGAGCCCAGAGGCAGCAGGGAGGGATCCAAACTCCTGGGCAGGGCTGGGAGAGGCTGGGAGGGAAGCTCAGAGCGAGCAGCAGGCTGGACGTGCTCGGCTGGGTCACTCGGGCTGCCCACAGTGCATTTGTTCCTGCTCGCAGAGCTGAGTCATCATCCAGCTTCCAGGGGGGCATGAAGGGCTGGAGTCATTTAGGAATTCTTCATTCCTTCTCCTGTGTTCTACTTGTCAGTGTTGAAACAGCCCAGGCAGTTTTCTTTTAGCTTTTATTTGGAGCAAGCACTTGAGCATCAGCAGATGGAAGAGGGAAATGCCCTTTCCCTGCATTAGGAAACACTTCTGGAGATTCCAGAAAGCATTTGCCCTGCTCTGTTGTTTTAGGCTAACTTTTAAATTTGGGGAGAGTGTCATGAACCCTTTGCCCCCCTGGGTTGTCCTTCTCCCTTGAGGATCCAGAGCAGACAGCAGAGCTCTCTGGTGTGGCAGTTCCAGCTGTTTGACAGGTTTTCCTGTGTCACAGGTTCTGGTGTGGCATTGATGTCTAACTTTGAGCAACTGCTGCGTGGGGTCTGGAAGCCAGAAACAAATGAAATTCTTCACATGTCCTTGTAAGTAGGCAATTTTTGGTCAGAGCCAGAGTGAAATGTAAAGAACCATTCAGGGCTGGATGCAAACCTCCCAGAAAACCTTCCTTCTTTCTCCTTCAGCCCTACAAAGGCCAGTCTGTATGGCACAGTCCTCTTCACCCTGCAGCAGACTCACTGGCTCCCCATCTCTGAAGCCAACCTCATCTTCTTTTTCACCATGTTCATGATTGTTTGCAAGGTAAGGTCACAGCAGGTTTGATGCTACAAATTACAGAACCAGAGAACGGGTACAGACCTAAACTGAGGGTATTCCTGAGCCACTTACAGGCTGTACATCCCAGGAGGAATCTGCTTGGGGCATTCAAGGCTAAATTCTCCATCATACAGGTGGGGCTGTAAAAGATCCTCGTGTTTCTTGGTTTGACTATTTCAGTTCACTCTTGAAGTCTTCCAAGAGAGAAGGCAGTGGTAAACAACCCACAGTCTGATGACAGAAATCAAATGGGAAAACACTCTTATGTAGTTTGTTGGGTTTTGTTTGTTTGCAGTTTTTTCCCTTTTCCCTCTCACCGTCTCCAGGTGAAATTAAAGTAGTTTCAGTTCTTTACATCAGTTTGTATGTGTACATGCAGAAAATATTGTGAACAGTCTGCACTTTATCTTCACAGTCTGTGGAGTGTAACTTTTAAAAGGTGCCTGAAGATGCAGGCAGGTAGGTCACAGCCCTGGCTGTACATCCCTGGAAGGGTCTGCTCAGGGCATTCGAGGCTAAATTGTCCATAATACAGGCAGGGGGATAGAAGACCCTTGTGCCTCGAGTCATGGAGCAGTGGGGACTTTAGCTGGGGGCAGTGGAATGTCCCAGCTGGTCAGTATTCCCTGGCTGGGGTGGGTGATCTTTAACCCCCAGGTTTTCCCTGGTGCCTGGCAGGTTTTCATGACGGCCACTCACTCGCACGCCTCCCCCTTCGCTCCGCTGGAAAACCTCGTCTGCCCCGTGCTCTTTGGCTCTGCCTCCAGTGGGCACCCAGGCCACCACCACGACCACCACGGGGCCTCCCATGAGGTTTCCCACCCGCCTCCTCCTCCTCCTGCAAAGTCGAAAGAGGAGCTCAATGAAGGCACAAGGAAAAGGAAGGCGAAAAAAGCTGAATAAAAAAGCAACGACGCAGAAAACAGGCCAAGAAAATCCTTCTGGAGCTGAGTCTCAAAGCCACCCGTGACTTCCTTTGTGCTCCAGTCGTTCTCCCTCAGGCTCCAGAGGAGAGGTGGAAGCCAGGACACTGCCAGGCGGGTTCCTGAATTTCAGTTTTGCTCTCTGTGCTTGCTGCTTGGTCTCTGCCTCTCTAGTCTGATCATACATTCAGGGATTTGTAGGTTTTGTGCCAGGGTGATAAAGTGGGTGCCAGTTCCCAAGCTGTCAGCAATTTTGATGCAGCGTTTTCAATTGATGTAAAAATATTCTCACTGTGTTTGTTTATGAATGGAGGGAATGGTTTGTGCTCCTGCAACTCATAAGTTCCTTTGAGTTTTCATTGACCTTTCTGGTGTCTGCCAAAACAACAAACTGTTAAGACACAGTCAGTGTGGAAATCAGATTTAATACTTGAGGAAATTAAATGGTCTCTTATGAGCCTGATCTGATTTTTCCTTGCTCCCACATGTGCCATATCTCCAAGTAATGTGACATTTTAAATGCAGTGAGGACTTTGCCTGAGCCAAACTCTGTTCCTCTCACCTCAGTTCCCTCTGATTCTAATGGACAGTCACTTGCTTAAAGTCTGTGTTTGCAAGAGCTCTGAAGCTGTGAAGTGCTCCCAGTGCCATGTGTTGGCACTGTCACTACCCTAAACTGTGTGTCCCACTTCAAACCTGATCCTATTTAACCAGGGGAGAAGCATGGTCTGGTTTGTTTGTAATCCTGTGGGATACAAGAAGAGTGTGTGTGTGTAAGTATTTATTACTATTTATTTATAATTGCCAGGGCACCTCAATCATGGACCTGAATCTGGCTTTTTTTAATGTTGCATCTTTATATAGAGGGTTGGAACTTCTAATTCGGGTCTTAAGCCCACAGCCACGTGCTGGTTTGTTCTTGTAGCAGTGATCCTAAAGGGCAGCCTGGACACTCTCTGGATGCAGGAAGGAATGTTTCCTATATCCTTGAATTAAGATAGAAAGGCTGAAGCAGTGGATCTCACACCAGCTCATTAAAACTTCTTTAAAGGACTGATTAAAAACACACCAGCTGAAAATACTGATTGCCCCTTGTAGGTCCCTTTGGGCCAAACCACTGGTCTGTGAATGCAGCTTGTGCCCAGTGAGTGGAGAATCAATGCCTTGCATGGCTCAGGAGGAGTCTGTCAGCTCATTCATGTTCTGCTTAGTGAATACTGGCTTTTACAGTAGTTTTAAGCTGTTCTTATAACTGATTTTGTCCTTAGAAGTGGCATAATCCAAGGGCTGGAATCACCATGGTGAGGATGGCACACGTGGGGATGAAGCACTGGGCTCCCAGTTGAGCAGCATTTCCCATCCCCAGCACTGAGGTTGCTGCTGGCACCTCCCAACTGGGAATAGGAACAGGAGGATTTAAGGAAAGTGGGGTTTTGTTTGTGTGTGTGTGTGTGCCTGTTCACAATTGCAACTGATGGTTAATTAAAAATAAATATATATATATACACAATCAGAGGAAAGCCAGTCTGGAAGGACAAATGGTTTGTGGGTTTGGGGTTTGACAGTGCCTTAATTTTGTGAGTCCCCCTCCCCTGCAGTAGAAAACAGGAATTCTGCCTGACAGCTCCACTGGCTGGCTCTGCAGATGCTGCTCTACTGAAACCTGCTGTACCACAAGCATGCACGAGACACTAAATGTTTTATGAGATGTCTGAGCCAAGGGGAATTATGTTTTATAGAAGCCATCAACAAATAAAAATTGTGAAGTGACTCTGATTGTCCGGTGGCACTCGAGGAAATCCGTGTGTTTCTTTTTTCCCTCCCCAGCCCCAGGAGCCAAACAGAAGCTCCTTGAGCTACTTTGAGTCTCCTTGACCCAATGACAGAATCATTCTGAAGAGAGAGATCAGACTTTATGTCCTGCAGCTGTGCCTGTTATAATTGGAAATAACATGGGAAAAGGTGTTTGTAGTGTTGCCTCAAACCAGACTTGCTGAGATTTCAGGGAAAGAAATAAGGAAACTGATTCCTTTGGCATTTGTACCTGCTGTCTGTCTTTCCTTTGGTCATTATAAGAGGGAGGAGAGCACTCACCTGGGACTGCTAAATATACACACACATATACAGCCCCCTCCCCCCTTCCAGCATATTTATATGGAGTTTCAGTATTTAAAACTGAAAAAAATCAAAATGCTCTGCATGAATGTGAATATTTAGTGTGGCTCCTGTTGACTGCTGCTCTGCTCTCTAAGTGCAGAGACTCTCTAAGAGTCCTTGCCCTTCAGAGTCTTTTGGACTGAGTCAGATCACAGCTTCCAACCACGAGAAATATTCCAAGGGACGTTAAAATTTGAGCTCTGAACACCTTCAGAGTACCCAACAGGAATGGGGGGAGTATTGAGAAGATAAGTGCCATAAAGAGGAGTCACAAGGTCCATTTAGTGAAGCCTTTCCTGGTGAGGGAGATGGGACCTGTCTGGAATTTCCCTGGCTCAGCACTGGCAGTCGGGTACAATTCCAGACAGGAGCAGAGATGGACCTTCCAATAACCACAGGGACACAGGGCTGCTCCTGCACTTCTGGGAAGTCCCACTGGACCTGTACACACATTTTCTCCTTTGGGACTCTGCTCCAAACAGCCTGAAAATGGAGCTGGGCATTTCCTAGAGAGATGAAGTAACTTGTTTCCAGGCTACAGAGATGGAGGTGATGGGGAAAACATGACACAGTCAATCGACCTGGTGCACTAAATGAGGATCTGCAAAAGGTCATTTATTTTCTGAAGGGTTTCACTTGTCTCCTCCCAGATTTAATAATTTAAAATGTTTATTAACACTCCTTAATTCATCAGAGCAGTTGGGAGTGTTAAGTTGCTTTGGAATGAAGGGTTTAAAGTGTTTGCATGACCCAACCAGTGGGAAAGAAGGTCAGTGCAAGCCTAATGCCTATTAAAAAAAAAAAAGCAAAACTAAACTAAAAAAGGGGATTAGAGCATTTCAGGTGCTTTAACAATTCTGGTCTGCTGTGACATCCAGTTCAGTGTCATTATTTCGCTCAGGATCTGTAAATGAACAGGCTGATGAGAGCAGGTCCATGTCCTTTGAGGAATCCCCACTCCACAGAATGTTCCCAGCTCTGCTGCAGCCCAGGGAGGAGAGGAGCTGCCAGGGCTTAAACTTCCAGGGGCCACACGTCATTCCCCCGGGAGATGTCCTGATCTGATAACTTCAGATACTGACTCCAGGGAGACACAGCTAAATTTAGCAGCAGGTTTAATCCTCAGAGAGGCCCTGGGTGCCTGCTGGGAAAAACAAGTGTTTTAGTTGCTGTTTCAGCATTTCATGTGGCTTGTCAGGTTTCCCTTTCCTGTTACAGAGCCAACCTGGTGCCTGCAGCTTTTTGGTGGTGGCAGATCAGCCTGAGAGACAGGGAAGGCTCTGCAGCACAAACTCCTGTGTTTGTAGGAAAAAACCTAACCCCACAAGAGAACTCAACACAGAGCATTAATAATTCTTCACAGCAAATGAGGTGAAACCAAAAGGGGAGGCCGAAGAAAAGAATTTCTGTACTGAAGAGTTTATGAAGGAAAGGGCAAAGCCAACACAAAGACAGCACCAAGGCAGAGCCACCAGCGTTCTTGGTTTCCCTTTTTCCTGTTGTTACTGTTGCCAATATGTACATTCTTGCACATTTTGTCTGAAGAATAACCAAATTATATAATCCAGCGAAGCAGAAAGACCCAGAGGGTAGAGATGGATGTCACCTCTGCCATCTCCTGAGCAATACTGAAGTTGTTCCTTTTAACACTTGCCAGGTGATTGGCTGCCAAGTGCCTGCTTTTCCCTGCAGCCTGTTCCATGGTGCTTTAAAGAGCTCACAAAAGCATTAAAAATTACAGCTTTATGTGTGTTTCACAGTAGCACAGATTTATTTTGTCTAGTTTATGGTTCTTGTGCTATTCCTTAATGGATGTAATTGGCTGCTGTAAGGCACAAGTCAGGATGATATGGAAGGCAAGGCTGGAAAATGGCATTTCCTACCACCTTAAATACCCAGATTTCTGCTGCAACAAAGATTTTTCTCTCAAGATACTTTAGTTCTTTGCCCAAATAATGAGAAATCAGAATATACATTTATGCAACATTTTCTAGAAGGCTGTCAAACATGGTTTGGATTTGGTGTGAGCTCCTTACATTCCTACTAGGATAACAGGACATGGGCAAGGCAAACCACCAGCACTGGAGAAACCATGCTGTTGATACCAAATGCTCTGTACAGAGGGTTGATATTTTCCTATTTAGGATGCTCTGTTGGCCCCAAGGCATCTGTTTTGTCCTGTGGGCTCATCCACCATAAGGAAATGCCAATTAAAGGGGTTTCAATCTGATCAGACATCAACATTGTTTGCTAAACACCCACAAAATTACCTCCCAGCCAAGAATTTAATCCTGCTCCCGTGGTCTGCAGCAGCCTGTGAACGAGCTGGTGGGGGCTGGTGGCTCATGGAACAGGCAGAGAGTGGGAAAAGCAGTTCCCTGTCATGCCAGAGCCCACACTGCCATCCTGACTCACAGCTGCTACTCACTTCAACTCCCTGATGGCACCTCTGACAAAAAGATGTTGATGGTGCTGAGTCATGAATACCTTGGAGCCTGGTCTCCCCTTTACACTTGTGCCTCTGCATCTTTCACAGAGCATCCACAGAAAAAGTTCTATTTGTGATATTTCCTTATCTGTTTCCTTTATGTCCCCCCTGAAGCAAATCCGGGGAGGGAATTTTTCGGAGAGCTTGTGAATGTAAGGACAGATCACTGTGTGAGACAGTGATTTCACCTTAGCCTTAGGGTACAGGTAGGCTGGAGCCCTGGAATGTGGAAAAACAGGTCTGATATGTTTGGAGGCTTCAATGTTTTTATAGCCTGAGGAAATCCAGAATGTTGCACGTTGATTTTGTTTGGTTTTGATTTGCAAATTTGCAGCAGCTCCCTGGAAAACCATCACATGGGACATTCCTGCAGAAAACAAGCTCCTGCTTTCCCAAATATCCCAACCCCTGATGCTTCTCAATGGAGCTGGCAGGTCTTGACATCCCCAAAAAAGCCCTGCAGGCTGAGGACTCCTGGTCCCACTGCAACCACCTGAATCAGTGAGTGAGCTGATTCTCTTTGCTGGAGACAAGAACTGGTGTGATGAGCAACAATGACAGGTGGATGCAGAGGGAGAAGCACAAAACAACATCACAGATTACAGTCCTCTGAAGCACAGTCTAAAATTCCGTGATTTTAGGGTCCTAATGTTGGCTTAAATTAGATTTAGACCAATGTGGGCTAAGCCCTAATGTAGGCTCTGCTCTGTCTGTCTGTCTCTCAAGGTAAAAGCTCCCTCTCCCTGCCTGTATGACTTATGACAGATTAGGATGTCGGTTAATCTCTTTTTATTTGAGTAGATGACTGTGGAGATTAATCAAATATTGTCTGCAAAAGGAGCCCATAAATACAGATTACTAATTTTTCATTAATTATCTCTCTGTGTGCCAGAGGGATACAGAGGGTACAGCCAAGGATGGACACCAGCCTCTTAAATCTCATTTCATGGCAGAACTAGGAAAAGCACAGCAGCAGCTCTGGCTGATTCTGGTTTTCTCTCAGTTCAGTTTCCTGGAAAAGGCAAAAACCCACAGAAATTATAGATTTATGGTCTCCTGTGAGAAAATGGGGGAGCAGAAAGTGGTTCTGAGTGAGTGAATCTGCTTGGCTGGTAGATCATCACCTCTGTTCCACGGAGGAGGCAGCATTCCTTGGGGAAGAGCCATCCTGAACACATGCAGAAACATTTATATACAAACTGAGACAGCAACGTGCTGGGAATATTGGAAAAAACAGCAGGATGGAAGAAAGGCACTGAAAAGGAGGGGAGATGCCTGTTCTGCCAGGGCCCCTCTGCTGAGGTGTTTGCCCCAGGTCCCTTCTCTGCATTCCAAGGGCATTTGGACAAAGAGGGGTTTCTCTCCTTGTTCTCTGCTGACAGCTGCAGTTTTTGAGCTCAGCAACTGCCCCTGGGGCGAGTTCTGCAGCAGCACCCACTGACCCTGGGGAGCAGCAGGTGGGGCAGGGATGTTGTCCTGCACTACATGACAAAACCAGGAGCAGCAGCCAGCCATATTCTGTCACTGGAATTCTCCTGTCCACTGAAGCATCCCTCAGGAGGTGGATCAGCTACACAAGAGGTGGATTTGCTACAGTCTTTCTGATTTTTATCTCCTTTTTTTTTTTTTGGTAAACGATTACATTTTTCTTTCTATACTTTCAAATGTGCTGCTCCTTTGGGGGTGGTTCCCCACAGCCTGACAGAAGGCAGTGACAGGGCACAGGCTCATACTCACGGCCTGGGTATTGCTGTGCCTTCAATGCCACTCTTGGCACAACAGGGACAGCAAGAGCTTTCTGTGCAGGCACCTTTCTCTATTTGCCAGACTCCCCTAAACCTATTCCAGGACCAGATTTATTGGAAAACTAGAGACAGAAACAAAATTTTAAAAATGGGGATATTGGAATTGTAACTGCTGAGACTAAATATGTCAAAGCAGCAGCTCTTCTTATGCAGGAGGTAACTCCAGTTAGCAGCAACATCCTGACTGTCTCAGCTTAACGAGGCAGAAGCGTTTGCTAAGGAGGGCGGGATATGAGAAAAACCAAGTAATTAATAATCACTCCTAAGTAATCATGACTTCGAAATTAAGACGCTCCGGGCGAAAAGGCGTGGAAAAGAAAAAAAATAACAGCTCTTTACTAGAGAACATATAAGGCACAGGTAACACAACGAAAGGAAAGGAGCGGCGATCCCGCCCCCAAAC